TATATATATAACCTGTATCCATCAGAGTCCATGCTGCCTAGACAACACACACTATAAATTCTAACAGCTACATTGCCCTGCTTGTCATGAATTCACTGTTGCCAGAGCTGACCTCAAACTGTGGACGGTCCTCCTACCGTGGACTCCCCAGTACTGGGATCAGCAGCTGTGCACTACCACACACACTGAAAGCAGTTTTTCACTTTTTGCAGCATAGTCAAAGAAACGTAACATCAGAATTTATTATGCAAGTAGAAATCATCTTATTAGGAACTTTTCTTGAGAGCTGGGCAGTGGTGGCGCACACCTTTAATCCCAGCAGTCAGGACCAGAGGCAAGTAAAGCTCTGTGAGTTCGAGGTCAGCCTGGTCCACAGAGCGAATTTCAGGACAGCCAGGGCTACATAGAGAAACCCCATCTCAACAAACAAACAAAACATTTTCTTTAAAATAAAACAAAAACAAAAAACTGGGGACAGCATCTAGGAAAGGAAAAAAGTCTAGATCAATATTCTGTTTTCTTTATTAGGGAAATTATTAACATAGGATGCAGTTTTTTAAGTATCAACTATTTTAAACCTATTCTTGTTTTATATTTATTTTTTAAAGTTTTATATGCATTGGTGTTTTCCCATGGGTACTGAGTTCCCTGTAGCTACAGACAGTTGTGAGCTGCCGTGTGGGTGCTGGGAATTGAACCCAGGTCCTCCTGAAGAGTAGTTAGTGCTCTTACCCACTGAGCCATCTCTCTAGCACCTTAAACCTATTCTTTAAAGAACAAAAAAAAAAAAAACAACTCATTCTTTGAAGAAGAAAAGATTATATAGATAGGTAGATAGACAATATTAAATATTCAAATATTAAAGGTTGAAAATTTCTTCAAATTATTTTACTCAACTAAAGCAGGATTATATATTTATATATGTTTCCTTCTGTCAGTTTCCTTATGTCAGAAGTCATACACCGAATAAATTTCATTATAATAAACTCAAATAATGCACAAAATAAGCCAAGCCTAGTGTGACGATCCCTTTTAAACTATTCTTTTGCTGTTCCCTCTCAGCCATTTATTTTTTTTCCAGTTTTTATTTGTGTGTGCATGTGTGTCTCATATGTGTAGGTGGCCATGGAAGCCAGAAGAAGGTGTTGGATCCCCTGGAGCTGATATTACAGGCAGCTATGAGTTCTGGGAACTGAACTCAGGTCGTCTAGATGTTCCTAGACACTGAGCCATCTCCACAGCCCCCAAGAATTAACCGTTTCTTGATAACTGTGCTGTAACAGTTTGGACTACAGCTTGACAGTACCCTTTCCTCCTTTCCTTCCTTCTCTTTCTTTTCTAATTGTGATGTGGCCTCACAGCCATGGCTAGCTTGGGTCTCACTGTATAGCCTCAAACTCCCAGAGAAAGACTGCATATTGTACTTCAGTTTTGATTTTGTTTCAATGATCAATATTTTGATGTTTTTTCTGCGGCAAAGCAGAGAGTTCTTTCAAGTCCTTTTAAATGCTCTCAAAAGTTTCTGTATGCAAAAGCTGTCTTTATCTGTTCTCTACCTGTGTGGTATTATTGTACCGCATGGACTGCAGAAAGTTGCTATGGTTACTTCGCCATCAGTAGTGTATATGAATGTATACCCTTTTCATTCAGTCTTCCCAGTGTTGAGTATTGTAAATCTTTATACATTTTTTTTTAACCATCTTAACAATTAGTAGTATCTCGGGGTTACTTTATTTCTCATTTCTTTGATAGATGCTTTAAACACTGGGATGGTAGAATGATATTTCTTGTATTAGCCAGAAGTTCTTCTATTGATCTTTTTTTACATGCCTAGACTGCACCTTCTTTATATTTTGGTCTTTAGTGATATTGTTTTTATGTTCGAGAGCCTTCTTCTTTATATTTTGGTCTTTAGTGATACTGTTTTTATGTTCAAGAGTCTCACCTGCACGTTCGCATTTTGTTTATGGTCATTTTACTGTGTTCTAAAACAGCAGCCCTCCCAAGAGCCATGTGTGAATTGGCCCAGAATATAGTGCTCTTTGGACTATTTTCCTTTTTATGAAAGTTATCTCTCCATATTTTGTTGCTGACTGAATCTGTTTCTTCATTTCACTCTGTTTGATTTCTGCCTGAAATAGATTTGAGAGCAGGCACATAGGAAGACAAGTTAGGGTTAGCCTTTGAGCTGGCCCTGATGGAATCTAAACTATGCGTGTCCTCTGACCCAGCGGTGTGGCCAGCATTGGGAAATACGCACAGAGCTGTTTACAGAAGCTCCGTTTGCCCCCAAGACGCTCAGCAGTCAGACACTTGTGGGTTGGGAATGGACTGACTTGTATTGCATGAAGGCAGTGTGCAAACAGGCAACACCAGCTAGTCCAACGTGGCCGGCAACTTGCTGGCTCTTGACCGAGAACGTGTCCTTTAGCCTCTTTCCCTCGGTTTTGTTCTCCAGGGTGAAAATAGATTTGTTGAGACACTAAATGAGTTGTTGTCCTGTAGTATCTGTAGACAAGTGGAGCTGTGCTCTGTAAAGTGCAGGCTGTAGATGGAGAGTGGGCTCTGTTGACAGACTTTTCAGTATTGGAAACTTGAGAGTCATCCGTTTTAACTACTCAGCTCTGAGTAATTCTAGTACAGCATAGTAGGAAAGATGTCAGTATTCCAACACTCTTAGTGAAAGATTTACTCAACAAATAGGTTTTTTAAGTAAAGGAGTTTCTGCCAATTAGTTAATATTCTCCCATGCTGTGTTTGTGTGTACTCCTTAGCAGATGAGCTGGAGAAGAGGTTCCTGCCTTTGGTGAGGGTGGGAACCGTTACCCTTCCACGGGGTCCTGATTTTAAGTTTGCCAGTGACCCCTAGAGAACAGTGCCTCAGAACTGACTGTTCCTGCCTCCTCTCTGGCCCCACAGCATTGCCATGGACACAGCACAGGACTCAGGGATAGCGGGTCAGATGTGGATGGCTGACAAGATACGTTCAGTGAAAGTCCTTCAGTCTCAGTGCCGTCGCACAGGGGTGGGAGGAAGGAGGACGCGTAAGCTTATTTTTCAGTTAGATAACTGGGAGAGGGTGGATTATTAACCCTCTTCTTTCCACATCCAGTAACAGTGTAACAGCAGAAAATGAGTCAGGACGATGGCCCCAACCTAGACCACAGTGTGAGAGCCTGTCTCTAAAAACAGGACAGGACCGGATAGAATATAACAGACTGAGACATGTCTTTGATATCCAGGTTATCCAGGTGAAAGAGCATGTGTTGTATCATTAGCTAGTGTGCTTCATTTATGTAGCCTCTACTGTGTGGCTCGCCCTGTCACACTGCGGGACCCTTAGATAAACGAGGTGACACCTCTGGCTCCAGTTCAGCTGTATATGAACCAAATCACGGCCTGCCTGATTAAAGCACAGCTTCATTTCTGCATTGGACAAAATACTGTGTTCCTGTTGAAGCTCCTGAGATTTTAGTGTGCCTACTCGTGACCCACAACTGGGGTGAATCTGTTTCCCCTCTTCCCCGTTTCCTCTTCATTCCTTTGTCTTCTGGTGTTGCCTTTCCTTTGCCTTCTGAACTCCTTTCTTTCCTTTCCTATAGGCATCGATGTTCTTTACATTGGCCCTCTGAAAGGTGAGCCTCACCACAATCACACACACGGTGTTGGTCTGTGCGCTTCAGCTATGGCCTCATCCCCTAGTTCCCTCAGCCGGCTTTCTCCTCAGAACCGCCACCACTTTAATCACATCACGGCTTTGGTACTGTGTGTTCTGTTGTATGAGCACAGTTACTTTGTGTTTTGAGGCAGGCAAATAATGTGCTAAGCTTTCCTTCCAGATTGAAGCTTGTGGCTCATTGTGCTTCCTGCCGTAGTGTGTGTGCTCACTGAGCTGAGTCTGAGTCCCCCTCACAGCTGTCTCTTCCCACTTACTAGGAGGCATATACTCCAGCCCTGGACTTTACAGCAAAACAATGACGCCCACTTACGACGCTCATGATGGAAGCCCCTTGTCACCAACTTCTGCCTGGTTTGGCGACAGTGCTCTGTCAGAAGGCAATCCCGGGATACTTGCTGTCAGTCAGCCGGTAACATCGCCAGAAATACTGGCAAAGATGTTCAAGCCTCAAGCTCTTCTTGATAAAGCAAAAACGAACCAAGGGTAAGTTTTTGTTTTTTTGAGACAGGGTATCTCTATGTAGCCCTGGCTCTCCTGGAACTCACTCAATCTGTAGACCAGGCTGACCCAAAATTCACAGAGATCTGCCTGTCTCTGCCTCCCCAGTGCTGGGATTTTAAAAATTATTCATCACTAGGCCTACCCATGGGTAAGTTTTAGGGGGACAGGCGCAAGCAAAGAATGTACCTGGTAGGGCTGGGTGTTTGGTTAATTGTGTTTGCTTTGCTCATCGCTCTTCTCCCTTTGTTCAGGTGGCTTGATTCCTCGAGATCGCTAATGGAGCAGGATGTGAAGGAAAATGAGGCCTTGCTACTCCGGTTCAAGTACTACAGCTTTTTTGATTTGAATCCAAAGGTACCAAGGATCACAAGGAATCTTTTCTGCCTGTTTCCTTTCTCATTTGAATGTTAAGACACTGTAGCAAGTTTGGAATAATATTCAAAACCCAGACCTTTAGGCAAAAGTGTGTGTATCCTGAATAAATCTGGTATTTTCTTAGGGTTGTTGTATACATGTTATTCACAGAATTATGTGAGCATATAATGAAAGACAAGAGGCTAGATCAGTGGTTCTCAACCTATAGGGCCTGACCCCTTTGGGGTTTGTACAACCCTTTCAGAGGGGTGGCCTGCAACCATTGGAAAACCAATGTTTACATTACAATTCATAACAGCAGCAAAATTACAGTTATGCAGGCCCTACAGGTTGAGAACCACTGATCTAGTGTCGTCTTTCATCGTGTGCTCACACAATTCTGTGTATAACATGTGTACAGCAAACTGTGTGTACAGAACTATCGGAGTTTTATTTTTAGGCCATATCTACTTTTAGTTGTAGGTTGGGGAGTGAGTGGAATGTTTGGTTAGCATTTTAAGAGAGCGTTTCTTTTCGCTAATATAACTAAATGGACAGTTTATGATATGGATACACATACTTTCCCAAAGTGTCTCTGTCCTCCTGTTTTGGACATTTAAAATAGCTCCTCCTCCCAAGGGTCTACCCTTCATGTGTTTCTCGTGAGTGAGGTATTTCCCAAAGTAATTAATTTGTACTCACTGAGTTCTGTTGTGGCAAGTCAGAATAATAATGTTAAAATCAATCTGTATTTGTACCTTGTTTTAATTCTTTCCAACCTCTTTTCCCCCCTCCTCCTTTCCTTTCTTTATCCGGTGTTTGCTTTTTGAGACAGAATCCAGCCATTCTGCATAGGCTGTGGAACTTAGTATGAAACCCAGGCTGACTCTGGGTGTGGATTACAAGCGTACATCAGTACCCAGTTTTGTGGGGTTTGTTCTGTTTTTGAGACAGTGCCTTGCTGTGCAGCCTGGGCTGGCCTAGAAACAAGGATCCTCCTGCTTTAGCTTTCCCAGTGCCCGCGTAGCAGTCATGAGCCACCGCACCCTCCTTCAAGTCAGACACATAGTCGTTACGTGAACCTCCTTTTTTCCCTTCAGTGCTAGGGGTCAAATCCTCTCTCGTGCTAGGCAATCCCTTCTGCTTACTGAACTAAATTCCTGAGTGATTTTCTTGTCATAGTTTGTCGTTTTAAATAGAAAATTAGATGTATCTATAGTCATATCTAATATAATAGATCTCTTCCTTTTTTAGAATTAACCATTTTGATAATAAAAAGTTGAAAAAAATTACATACTCACTTTTTGTCATGCTTTAGACATGAGTATATATGGTGTTAAAGTCGTAGTGCAAGCTTTTAATGGCAACACCCAGGAGGCAGAGGCAAGAGGATCTCTGAATTCAAGACTAGTTAGTTAGTCTAGACAGCAATCTAAGGCCAACCAAACCTACACAGTGAGACCCTTGTCTCAAAAGGTGGAGAAGGGGTGCTAGAGAGATAGATTCCTGGTTAAGAGCACTTGCAGAGGACCTGGGTCCCAGCACCTACATGGTAGCTCACAACCATGCATTAACTCCAGTTCCAGGGCACCCAGCAGGCACCAGGCACGCATGTAGTGTATACACGTACACAAGAGCAAAACACTCATGAAATAATTTTATTAAAAAGAGACCACTTAAAGACATTATTTTAAAATTTAGGTGTGTTTAGTGCAGGAGCCCACAGAGGCCAGACATATCAGAACCCCTGGGATCTGGAATTCAGGCAATTATGAGCCATCTTACATGGGTGCTAGGAACAGTATGCACTCCTAACTGCTGAGCCATCTCTCAAGCCTCAAAAGTGAATATTTAACACTGAAAACTTTCTGGTATTGAATACTGTGTATTGAAGCCCGTGTTTCTCTCATTCTGCAGTACGATGCTATCAGAATCAATCAACTTTATGAGCAGGCCAAGTGGGCTCTTCTCCTGGAAGAGATTGAATGCACCGAGGAGGAGATGATGATGTTTGCAGCCTTGCAGGTAATGTGACATATAGCGACTGGTTCTTAACTGGGAAGAAGAGAGTGCTGTAGTAACCCTAGCATTTGATACTGTTGTTGTGCTGTGTAGGAAGTGGTTCATGGGGCTGGCAAGATGGCCCAGCAAGCAGATGTGTGCTACCAAGCATGGTAACCCAAGTTTAGTATTCAGGACCTACTTGGTGGAAGGAGAGAACCAACTCCCAAAATCATCTGAGGCTGGGCATATTGGCACACACCTTTAATCCCAGCCCTGGGGAGGCTAGGGCAGCTAGTGCTGCATAGTGAGACTCCTTTTGTTTTAATGTCTTCTCACTTCCATGTGCACACGTGCGTGGACATGCAAACACACTAACTAATGGAAATTTGTAAGCATTGGAAGTGGACATTTACAAAAGTGAAACAAGCATGATTATTATTTTTTTCGTTTTTTGGTTTTTCTAAACAGGGTTTCTCTGTGTAGCCTTGGCTGTCCTGGAACTCACTCTGCAGCCCAGGCTGGCCTCGAACTGAGAGATCCACCTGTTCTGCCACCCTGGTTCTGAAATTAAATATGTGCGCCACCAAGGCCAAGCTAATGATTATTTTTGTTTCATTCGTTTTAAAGTATTTAAGAATCAGCCGGGCGGTGGTGGCGCACGCCTTTAATCCCAGCAGGAGTCAAAAGCAGGCGGATCTCTGTGAGTTTGAGGCCAACCTGGTCTAGAGAGCTAGTTCCAGGACAGGCTTCAAAGCTACAGAGAAACCCTGTCTCGAAAAACTAAATAAGTAAATAAATAAAATATTTAATAGTCAGTTGGGTGGTGGTGGTATACACCTTCAGTTCCAACACTTAGGAGGCAGAGGCAGGTGGATCTCAGTGAGTTTGAGGCCAGCTTGGTCTACCAAGTGAGTTCCAGGACAGCCAGGACTATTATACAGAGAAACCCTGTCTCAAAAAATAAACAAATATACAAAAAAGAAACAAGGCTGGAGAGATGGCTCAGAGGTTAGTGTTCTGACTGCTCTTCTAGAGGTCCCGAGTTTAATTCCTAGCAACAACATAGCGGCTCACAAACATCTATAATGAGATCTGGTGCCTTCTTCTGGTGTTCAGGCATACATACAGGCAGAATATTTTATTTATATATATATACATATATATATATACATATATATATAATCTTAATATACATATATATTTAAGAATTGCCAGGTGGTGGTGGCACACACCTTTAATCCCAGTACTCAGGAGGCAGAGGCAGGCAAATCTCTGTGAGTTCAAGACCAGCCTGGTCTACAGAGCAAGTTCCAGGACAGGCTCCAAAACTATACAGTGAAACTCTGTCTTGAAGAAAACAAAGAAAGAAAAATAAATAAAAGAAGAAAAAAGAATCAGTGGTACTTTTGGTAACTTTTCTTTATCTTGTGAGAAAAAATGGTCATTTCCCTTCTAGCCTATAGTAACCTGAAATTAAGTCAGTTTTCTCTTGGAAATAAAATACTAATACTATGAAGTTGATGATAAGGCACATTGGAAGCTGGCAGTAGAGTAAGATAAACATAAGTGTTTTTACAATATTAATTATTAAGTAGAAAGCTAATGTTTCTTTAAGCCAGTATTTCTTCAGATATGAGCCTTGGATAACACATGCTTCAGAATTATAGTGGTACTTATTAAATTAATTACCCCACTCCCATTACTGATCCACCCTCCAGTATGGCTTTAGACAAACCAGTGTTCTTAGAAGCACTGAGGTCCATTGTCAGCAGCTTGATTCTCTTTCAGATTTCAGTATGTCTGAGTGGGGCTTTGGCAAGTATTCTTGGGTTGTGATGGGACTCTAGTCTTCCCTAAGGTCCCAGCGCAATTAATAGTCTTTAAATAGAAGTGGGAGAAGCAAAGTTGGTCCTCAGTGAAGAATCTCTAACTATAAGGATTCACTTTTCTCAGAACGCAGAAATGCTGCCAAACTTCCAAATGCACCAACACACCAGAAAGTTAAGCTGTAACCCAGGGTCACCATTGGAAGGTTGCTGGCAGGTGGGCAAATTCATCAGCTGTTCCAGAGAGTTGACTAAGCAGCTGGTTTAGAATCTTACAGTTAGAAAAGTAGATAAAAGACAGGATCTTCTGAGTAAATTGGGAGCATGGGGACCTTGGAAGAGGGTTGAAGGGGAGGGGAGCAGAGAAAAATGTAGAACTCAATAAAAATCAATTTTAAAAAACCGTTCGCTGGACGGTGGTGGCGCACACCTTTAATACCAGCACTTCGGAGGTGAGGCAGGTGAGTTCAAGGCCAGCCTCGTCTACAAGAGCTAGTTCCAGGACAAGTTCCAAAACTACAGAGAAAGCCTGTCTTAAAAAAAAAAAAAAAAAAAAAAAAAATCTTACAGTTCTCAGGGCCTTCCGGCTGTCTGGAGAATTTCCTGAATTAAATCTGGCATAGTTCACTGGGAAGCTCTTACCTGAGTGACTCTTCAAATATACCTTTCACACTTTGAATACAGACTCATTGTTTTCTGGTGGAAATTTTGCCAAAAGCAAGAATAAGACATGTAAAATACATCTGTGAAAAACCATAAGTTTAAATTTTATAACAGTATTCTTTATCATTTTGTTGTTGTTTAGGTATTGTGCTAGGAAATGAGCCCGTAGTCTTGCACATGCTAAGCAAGCTTTGTACCACTGGGCTCTATCCCAGCAAAACTTAGATTCTATTCACAGTAATTGAAGGGCCTCAAACCATAACTCTCTTGGACCATTGTAATGGATAGATGGATGGATGGGTGGGTGGGTGGATAGATGGATGATGGATGGGTGGGTGGTGGATAGATGGATGGATGGGTGGGTGGTGGATAGATGGATGGTGGATGGATGATGGATGGGTGGGTGGGTGGGTGGATAGATGGATGATGGATGGGTGGGTGGTGGATGGATGGATGATGGATGGGTGGGTGGTGGATGGATGGATGGATGATGGATGGGTGGGTGGTGGGATGGATGGATGGATGGGTGGATGGGTAGGTGGATGGATGGATGAATGATGGATGATGGACTCTTGTCCTTCCCAGTGTGACCACACTGAATAGAACTCATGTGTCTGCTCCTCGCCATTGAAAACAAAGTATGATGGAGCCTGCAACCCACACATTGAACTGCTCTGTCTTTGGGGCACCCAGATCTCTGTAAATTAGGCTTATTATAGCAAGAAGAAAGAAAAATAGTATAAACTAGATAAAAAATAAAGCTGAAAAAATATAACATGGCCTCTTGTATCAGGATCAGCCAAAGTGCTTTAAAAAATGTGGATTTCGGGCTGAGCCACAGAGTTGCTGAGTCAGGATCTCTGGGGTGGGGTGGTGGGAGGAAAGGGGGAGTCTACATTTTAACCAGCTCTTCACACATCCTTTTTTCTTTTATTTATTTTATTAACATTTTTTCATTTATTTTACATGCCAGCCACAGTTTCCCTGCCTCCTCTCTTCCCACTCCCTCCCACTCTCTGATTCTCTTCTACCGCCTCCCCATCCACTCCTCTGTCTCCATTCCCAAAGGGACAGGCTTCCTGTAGGCGTGAGCAAAGCTTGGAGCCATACGCCCTACAGTCTCTGCTTCCCTTGTTCTCATTGGTTATCACAAGTTCATATGCCCAACAGTCTCTGCTTCCCTTGTTCTCATTGGTTATCACAAGTTCTGTCACCGCAAAGATCTGTTTGCCCAGTTGGAAGCTATAACTATTGGCTACTGAGTCTTAGAACACAGGACTGGTAGTTGGCCTTGGGTCCATCAATTGAGTGTTCCCACATCAAGTAAATGGATACTTGAGAAGTTCAGAGCCGCTTCTGCCTTGAGTAGCAGCTGATGAGAATTACACCAGATGCTGTTGATCTCTCAAAATCTCTCAGGCTTGATAGCAAAACTTAATAGATTTTTAATATTCTGAGTCATCAAGTGTATTTTAAAACAGCTATTTTTAAAATAAATCTTTATTTATTATGTATAGTGTTCTACCTGCATGTTTGCTTGCATGCCAGAAAAGGGCACCAGATCTCATTACAGATGGCTGTGAGCCACCATGTGGTTGCTGGGAATTGAACTCAGTAAGTACCTGGAAGAACAGCCAGTGTTCTTAATCTCTGAGCCATCTCTCCAGCCCTAAAAATAGCTATTTTATATTTTAGAAGATTCTATGCCTGTTTCCTCACTAGATAGAAGGGCCGTCTGGTTGTACTTACACACTCTCTGTTCATACATATGAACGGTTTCTTATTCTTCGATGGCTGAGACTATGGAGTATTGAAGACAGAACTGGGGAAAGTGGAGCTGGTGTTCACTTTTCCCTGGAGTGAGAATGGTGATACTTTGCTCCGGGTGATTAGGACTGTAGGCCAGCGAGGGCTCATTTTCTCAGTGATGTGAGACAAGCCAGTCAGTTCGTCTCTACAGGAGCTTCATGCATGGTCTGAGGCTTCCTGGGATGTGCATCTGTTCAAGGCACAGGACAGAATGCACTGAAAGCCAGCCACCCCACAACAAAACAACCAAAACTCAGCTTTGTAAATGCCTCCCGTCATATGAAGGGAGGCAGAAACTGGATCCGTTTGTGTGTACACAGAGACTGCACTCATTTTGGATAAGTTTTTTCTGATCAGGTCTGTCACACTGATCCCAGGTGCCATGGCTTTTTACCCTTCTAGTTTCAGGACATTTTAAGTGTTGAGGTGTTTTATCTGCAGTTTTGTCTGTGCACATGTTTGTGCAGTATCTGTGGAGACCAGAAGAGGGCGCTAGATTCACTGGACCTGCAGTTAATAGAAGGTTGTGAGCTGCCATGTGGCTGCTAGAAATCAAACCCGGATTCACTGTAAGCAGCTAGTGCTTTTAGCTACTGAGCCATCATCTCTCCAGCATCCTACCCTGACGCTTTATCTTTGCAAATCAGATAAAAAAGCATCCAGTATAGAGCCAGGTAGTAATTTCATCTTAAAGTTCTGCAACTGAACAGTCATTTCAACAACATGCTGTTGTGGTTTCAGTATCATATCAATAAGCTGTCAATCATGACGTCAGAAAACCATCTGAACAACAGTGACAAAGACGTGGATGAAGTTGATGCTGCCCTTTCTGATCTGGAGATCACTTTGGAAGGCGGGAAAACATCAACAATTCTGGTGAGGTGGCTCTTTAGCTAATGTTTGACTTTAGTTGAGGCTTACCTTTTTGTGGGTTTTCCATGGCCAGCTGTGGTACCTGGAAGGTGGAGAAAAGTGTTCAGTTCTTTCCAGAAGTTTGTCATAGATTTTCAGAGAAGTTTTTTGTGGTGGAAGGATCAATGCCAGGGCCTCGTTCTCCACCCAGAAAACCTTTTCTCAGGAAATAGTGCCTCTGACCTCTAGGGCTTCCCATTCTGAAGCCCTCTCTAAGTACTTGTTTTGGGGAAGCATCATAAAGCCATGGTAAGTTGGCTTACTTGATACACATTAGAAAGAAGAGAAATGAGCCTCGTGATAACCTAAATGTTGCTTATTTTTAAAACTGAGGAAGGAGTTATCGATGAAGAAACATTTTTCTTTGTGCCATTATGATTTATAATATTTCCATATATTGCTGTAAACCATTTCAGCTATATTTAGATGTAACAATACATTCTTGGGAATTGTACAAATGTCATGTTGTTCAAGTTTTTATTAGCTTTGTGTAATATTTGAAAATGCCTTTGTAATAAGACCATCTAATATGATCATATCATTTCTATCTTTAACAACTGTATTTTGAATATTAAATAAGCAGTTTTAAAAATCAGATACCAAACTAAATTTAAAAGATTAAGAAAAATATTATTTTAATCCTTTACCTAGGGTGACATTACTTCAATTCCAGAACTTGCTGACTATATTAAAGTTTTCAAGTAAGTACAAAAGTGGGATAGATTTCAAATATCAATAAGAACTATCAGTTTTATAATCAGGTTCTCATTTAAATTTACAGTAATTCGATGTCAATTATTTATAAAATAAATCTGTAAGATTTACCAGTTAGATATACACTTAAAGTTAAATTCATGTTCTTTAGTTCACTAAACTAAAACCACAAAAATCATTGCTTTATTTGATCTTAAAGTCACGGGGCTGATTGTATCATAGTTGGTAATAGTGGCTGACGGCAGTGGTCTGCATTAAAAGTGGCACATGGTGTCCTGGGAACGCAGTGTTACGTCCTTGCTCAAGCTCCAGACTCCATTGCCCTGTCATGTGCCGCTGGACCCTCTCTTGTAAGGTCCCAGTAAGTTTTTCATCTTCCAAACTGAGAGCTGGGCAGTAGGGTAGGTGGGAGACAGCTGTGCTTCGCGAGGCTGGAAATGCTGTAGCTCACAGAATAGAGCGCTTCTGAGAAAGGGACGATTTCAGAACTTCTCTATCTCTACCTTTTCCCTTTTCCACACTCTCACTGTGCCACCTTCTGTGTTTGGCTCTGGAGTGGCATGTCTGTGTCATGACTGACCCTTTGACTGCAGTCATGTTGAGTACACATATGCAGAGATTTTCACAGCCATGATGCTGAGGGCACCACCGCATCTACAGGGTTTTCCAGATGGACAGCTTGAAGGGTAAAGTGTGGGCTGGGGCTCTCTACCCTCTCGGTGTTTGCGATCTTCTGGAGTAGACTGAGAAGGGGGCACACCAGGGAAAGCTGGCCAAAGGCAGATGATGCTTTGTGTTTTTCAGCACTGAGAAATTTAACTGCTAAAACAGCCTTGATGAAGTCATGTCAAAGTGGTTATTGTCTCGATTCTGTTTGCTATCTAGGCCTAAAAAGCTGACTTTAAAAGGGTACAAGCAGTACTGGTGCACGTTCAAAGACACATCCATCTCCTGCTATAAGAGCCGAGAAGAGTCCAGTGGTACACCTGCTCATCAGATGAATCTCAGAGGTAAGGGGGCCTCGTGTGACCTGTGGAGGCTTTGCCGTGTTCTTGGTTCTGCAGTTTGTGTGTTCAGTTGCATGTGGGTATTTGTTCTGATCTCTGGCCTGACCCGAGTTGAAGTGCACAACATTTAGCTCTCTCATCAAATAAATTTGTGATGTCTCTCTCCTGATCTTTAAGACCAGAAAACATGAAGATCGTTGATGTTGTTAGGGTTCCCTCATCCGTAGCCTTGTGGTTGTCGTGTCTGCAGTCCTTGTCTCGTCCTCCTCGCTGGCATCTTGCTTGCTCTTCACCCCTGATCACAGGCGGAGCCTTTAGCCTGTTTTCCTCTTCCATTCCTGTTCTTCTGTCTTCACTTTGTTCTCCCCCAGCTCTTGAGCAAGTCCAGGATGTTCCTGCCAGGCTCCTAACAGCCAGCTTGAGTTTCCTTTTGCGTTGTCAGATTGAAAGCTGAGCAGTGGGAGTTGGAACTTGAGGCATGGGCCTCCTCATTGAGCGCCTACAGCCTGGGCCATGCTTCAGCGAGGGCTCAGCTGTTAGCTCTACTTTTTTATTTAATATTTTTTTAAAAGTATCTCATTTTTAAGTGTGCGTGTTGTATGTACAGGTGCCTGAGTAGTCTAGAAGATGGCTTCAATCCCCCTGGAGTTGTAATGAGAGACAGTTGTAAGTTAGGAACTGAACTCCTGTCCTTATGCATCCGGAACTGCTCAGCCATGCCTCCTCCAGCCCTAGCTAGCGCTGTTACTCATTCAGGCTTATGGCTAGAGCAAGAGCCTCATTCACCGTGTTGGGGGCCTCTCCATCTGGGGACCAGGAGTGACATTCAATGGTAGAGTGTTCTTAAAGTGTTGTGGCAGAATTCACCGTGTTAAGATCTCACAAAATGAGGCTATTTTATTGGCTCAGGATTTCCTTTATGCACTTTTATAATTTAATTTATTATTACAGGATGTGAAGTTACCCCAGATGTAAACATTTCGGGCCAAAAATTTAACATAAAACTCCTAATTCCAGTTGCAGAGGGCATGAATGAAATTTGGCTTCGTTGTGATAATGTAAGTTTTCCAGTTAAAGTCACTTTTTTCTGGCTCTCATGTGAGTTGGTTGGCCAGCTGTCCCTACATTCTACACCTAGGTTCCGAGCACTGTGTGGCTTCATCTCTCTCTTTGTTTCCACAGGAGAAGCAATACGCACACTGGATGGCAGCCTGCAGATTAGCTTCCAAAGGCAAGACCATGGCGGACAGTTCCTATAATTTAGAGGTTCAGAACATCCTTTCCTTCCTGAAGATGCAGCATCTTAACCCAGATCCCCAGCTAATTCCAGAGCAGATCACAACTGACATCAATCCCGAGTGCCTGGTATCCCCTCGCTACCTAAAAAAGTATAAGAACAAACAGGTATTCCATTCTACGTAATTAGTTAGTTTTGTAATATTGCGCTCATGCTTTAAATACTGGTTCTCCTCCTAAATGAAAGTTACCAGCTTTGGTAGTGTATAAAACAGCAAATGGAGGAGGTGAGGGTCTGTTTAAAATGTTGTTAATCTCCTATGACGTTAATAGGCTAGATACTGGGAAGCAGTATCAGCAGCTGTCTATTCTACACAGTCCAAGGAGAGCACTCTCAAAGGACCCTCAAGAATTGAAATGCTCTTAGAGGCCGGATTCTTTGGGTCCCTGCCGAGACGTGACCAAAAAAGCACACTCAGCACTTGTCCAAAGTATCTTTAGTACTTGTGTTTGCTGAGGTAGATTAACCATTGGGGGGAGGGGGGGAGGTTGGGCAGGAGAGTGTTTTGAGACAGGGTTTCTTTGTGTAGCAGAGATCTGCCTGCCTCTGCCTCCGAGTGCTGGGGTTAAAGGTGTGAGAAATATGTTATATCTCCATCACTGTCTTAACCCTAACAGAGCACTCTCTTGTCCACTCTCTTTGGAATTCCTGTCCTGGAGATTAATGCCGTAAAAGGCTTGCTGTCCAGGAGAATGGCATGTTGGTGCATTACTCGAGGTCCTTTGCAGGGGAATTTGACTTGAGAGCCCCCAGGATTCTCTACACTGAACAGCAGGCCTTAAAAGGAAAGGCTTCCGAGTGGATGGGGGAGAGAGAAGACCGCTAAAATAAATAAATCATTTTTATCGAGTTTTGTTTTTGTCTTTAAGGGATCATTTTAAAACATTAAAGTTCAAATTAAATAGAACATTGCCTTCCTTAAATTTAAATGTTACTTTATTAAATGAATCTGAAAGAGTTTTGCTTTCCACAGAACCGGTGAGAACTTTAATCAGGAATGGTCTGTGTGTGCAGTTAAGGCTGTGGGAGTGAGTGGTGAGGGATGGCGGAAGTGCTGCCTAGGGGAGCCTCATGGAAAGGGACGAGGTGCTGGCTTTCCCTTACTCACCAGAGAGCTGTGTGCCAAGAGACTAGTTTCCACAGATGAACTCATTTACCTTCGAATGATTTCAGACCTTAGTGGTTTTATTATTTCAGTGTCTGTTGTCCACAGATGATAGTTCTCTGCTTTTGTGTTGTGGACAAAAATGTGACCTAAAATCCTCTGTTTTGTCAGTGTCAATAAGGCGGTGTATGGCTTATGGTTAAGGACCTTTCCGGGACTTTGGTCTGAGTAAAATACACAGACCTTTCCGACCCCTCCTTCTCTAAGTAGGCCCAGATCTTGTCCCCTTAAGTTCATGGCTGCCCTGACCCCTACCAGTGCTCACAGGCACGAGATCAAATGTCTGGCTGAGGGGATGCTGCCGAGGCACAGATCAGCATAGCCTCTGACACTTAATCTGCATCTCCCCCCAGATTATGCATGTTTTAGCTGAGCTTTTCCAGGGTAATTTTGAGTGAGTATGAGTTTTTGACTGTAAATAAAGAATTGTCCTGTCATACCAAACTGAAAACAATACATGTGTGGCCACAGCTCCCAGGGCCCTGTTTGGCAAACTTGTGTTTCTCCTTCCAGGAAAAAGGATGCAAAAAGCAGATGGTAATTGAGGGCCTGCTGCCTTTTTGTGCAGATAAAGGAACAGTGTGGCGCTGACCTCATGTGCAGCCTTAGCGTCCTTCTGAGAAGCTGTGCATGCCTGTGTCCTCTGCCTAGAGCTGAGGAAGCTGGCATGGCTTTGGATTATTCATTTTTATTTTGCCACTAAAATAATTAGCTTTGCCCTCACCATAAGAACAGCACATGAGGGGAGAAAGGGCTTTGCCCCTTCTTCTGTGAGCTTCCACCTTTAACTGAGTGACTGTCTGCAGTGTGCACTTCTGTGTTCTGAATGCACAGTAATCGCTGCTTCCTGGTTTCCATTCTCATTCCTGCCTTGACTCTGTTTCACCTGAGTGGTCTTTTTCTGCGTGGTTTTCTGCTAGAATTTTGGGTTGCAGGTTCCACGGCCTTTGCTTTGCTTCATTGCTGTTTCCTGATCACCTCTTCTTTTCTTTTTTCCTTTTTTCTTTCTGCTCCCTTTTTCTTTCTTCGCATTGCCATCTACAGCCAGGCTATATAAGAGATTTGGTAAGTTGGTAATCAGAGATATTTACAAAGAGAGAGAAATTAAACATTGTAAAGCCGAACTCATAGCCATCCTACCTTGGCCCCTTACCCCGCCAAGGGGGAATATCCTAAAGTGAGTGTCGGTGAACTATTTCAATTCTGTTTGCTTGCCATAGGACATGGATGATAGCCACTATTTCTTCATGTTCAGGTCTCTGGACTGGAGCCCTGTTGCATTTTGTTGCTAAATGCCAACCACCATCTGAATATAGATCTGAGCGTGTTGTCTTGTCATCGCTCGCCAGCGTCTGTTCACTTGGAACCTCAGTCCTGGCGGGCATTCACGAGAATCCTAAATGCTTCTTGTGTGACACATAAAAACTGAAATTAAGGCCGGGCGATGGTGGCGCACGCCTTTAATCCCAGCACTCGGGAACCAGAGGCAGGCGGATCTCTGTGAGTTCAAGACCAGCCTGGTCTACAGAGCTAGTGCCAGGACAGGCTCCAAAGCCACAGAAACCCTGTCTCGAAAAACCAAAAAAAAAAAAAAAAAAAACCTGAAATTAACAATGTTACTTTATTGAAATCCCCAAAAAAACTTCAGATAATTTTTAATTTTAATTCAACGTGATTTTATGGGGCACATAATTAAATGTTTTATCTTGTTTCTATCACAAAAGATATAATATCTAATTATTTAATACTTAATCATGTTTAGATAACAGCAAGAATCTTGGAGGCCCATCAGAATGTAGCCCAGATGAGTCTGATTGAAGCCAAGATGAGATTCATTCAAGCTTGGCAGTCTCTGCCTGAGTTTGGCATCACACACTTCATCGCGAGGTCAGTGTGCTGCTGTGGTCTGCAGCTGTTGTTTGTCTACTTCGTGTACTTAGATGTTAAACACTGAAGGCAAAGCTACTTAGACATAGTAAGACATAGTAACCTCTTCTACAGCAAAACTTAAAACATGGTATTAAAACATAGGCCTTCCCTTAACAACTCACAGTTGTGATTCTGTTCTTACCTGCAGGAGTTCAGCTGTTAGGGTTGGAGCCCCTCCCATATTCTGAGGGGGTTTTCTTTAATATTACAGATTTCAAGGTGGCAAGAGAGAAGAACTTATTGGAATTGCATACAACAGATTGATTCGGATGGATGCCAGCACGGGAGATGCCATCAAAACATGGCGGTTCAGCAACATGAAGCAGTGGAATGTCAACTGGGAGATCAAAATGGTGAGCTGGCAGAAGTGTGAGGATGGCTGAGGGGTGTGTAGTGCAGTGGGTCTGGATTTGTTCCACAGCACTTAAGAAAAACAAAGAGGGGGAGCCTTATAAATTCTGAACTCCCGGTTCTGTGAGGCCATTTGACTGTGATATTTGATACTCCCATTAACTGCTAGGGCTGGTTTGGCTTGTCTGGCTGGTGAGTTCTGGTGTCCCCTTCACTTCTCATACTTGGTGGGAGAAGACAGCCCTCTCTGCCAAGGGTATAAAGTAGCTGGGCTTCCATGCTAGAACCTTCAAACACACTTTGAAAGGCCACCGTTGGGTAGGTAGCCAGACTTCCAAGGCAGCCTCATCCAAATGAGGCCCTGCAGGGTAGTCTGCATTTGCTTACAAACGAATAGGATGAGGAGGTGGCTTAGTAGCTAAGAGCACTTTGCTGTTCTTCTGAAGGACCTAGGTTCAATTCCCAGCACCCACATGGAGGTTCACGACCATCTACAACTCCAGACATGAAAGGAGAGAGGGAGAGAGAGAGAGAGAGAGAGAGAGAGAGAGAGAGAAGGAAGGAAGGAAGGAAGGAAGGAAGGAAGGAAGGAAGGAAGGAAGGAAGGAGAGAGCCTAGGGTAGTTCAGGTACTGGGAAGAGAGAAAGAGAGAGCGCCAGCCTAGGGATAGCTTGGGTACTGGGAGAGTGCTTGCCTAGCATCCAAAAAAAGAAAAAAAATAATCTTTAGGATTAAAGTATAGACCATGGTTGTTACTCATTTCTCTCTTAAAACTTACCTATTTCATAATGTTCTCTCTGTAATAGCTAAGCCCCTTCCCATAGCAGCAGTCAGAGTCTATTCCAGGCCTCTGGCCAGGCCTGGACGTTTACATTTCTGCCCCTCTCGCAGCCCCCTCACAGCTTCTAAAGCAGGCAGGTGGCTTGGACTTCACTACCATCTGGAAGCCTCAGGTGTGGTCATTGTCCAAGTGCTCACTTAGTGGCTGGCTCAGCTTTGAAAGAGTTGTTTGCACTCTAGTGCCCACTGCCTGTAGCACTGTGTAGCCACGATGGGGCCCATTTTCTTTGTTACATGGACATCATATAAAACAGTTTTACTATGCCCGGTGGTGGTGGTGGTGGTGGTGGTGGTGGTGGTGGTGGTGGTGGTGGTGGTGGTGGTGGTGGTGGTGGTGGTGGTGGTGGTGGTGGTGGTGGTGGAGGAGGAGGAGGAGGTGGAGGTGGAGGTGGTGCACACCTTTAATCCCAACACTCGAGGCAGTGGCAGGAGGGATCTCCGAGGATCTCTGCTCTACAAAGTAAGTTCCAGGACAGGCAAGGCTACACAGAGAAGCCCTGTCTCAGGGGAAAAAAAGAAACAAACAAACAAACAAACAAAAATACAGTCTTATTGGTAGGCTGTTTGGCTTGGCAATTGGATCTGTTATATCAGTTGCTATCAGGAAAACCCGTCTTTCTGAAATATTTGATCAGAATATCTAAAGGTTAAATTCTGAAGCAAATGTTAAATAAAACACAGGAAATAGATTTTCTCCCAGGACCTGAAGAGAGACATTCTTATTAATTGCATTACCAGAGACTGCTTGGGAACTTAATGGCTTAAACCCCTTGAGAACTTGCAAACTAAAGCAATGGGGGAAGGGATGATACGCTGTTCATATTGTTTGGACACACAGACATTGCTATCCCTGGCTAATCCTCTGGGGACTGACAGGGCTTCCTTACAGAAGCTGCTGGGGATGCTGACGGTTCTTTGTCTCTATCCCAGGTCACCGTGGAGTTTGCAGATGAGGTCCGGTTGTCCTTCATCTGTACTGAAGTAGACTGCAAGGTGGTCCATGAGTTCATTGGTGGTTACATATTTCTCTCAACTCGGGCCAAAGACCAGAATGAGAGCTTAGATGAGGAGATGTTCTACAAACTCACCAGTGGTTGGGTGTGAACAGGAAACTGTGTAAAGAAACTGCACAGCCATAACAATATTTAACTTTAAAGCTATTGTTTCTTATATGCTGCTTAATAAAGTAAGCCTGAAATTTATCATTTTATCATGAAAACTCTTTGCCTTATCAGACCGGTTAATGTGTACACTAACAAGCATGGTTATTAACCTGCTACCATGATGCAGTATGTGGACTGTGGAATGTAGACGTTCCCTAGGGCCACACATTGAAATCTGAAGCAGGGGGTGAATCGGGAACCAGCTGTTGCTGATTGACACTAGCCAAACCAAGAAACAAGCCATCTACTACCAGGTTACCCAGGGTGTAACCTATATGAAGTCTATTTATCATGTATAATGCATGTGTTTAATGTATGTCTAATTTGATGCCCTCTTTTTAAATACCTTACTTCTGGTAGCTGGTTAGCCCCTCTCCTAATATAAAATCGGGTCTGCAGCAGATGCTTGGTGTTCAGTGACACCGTTGACCTTGAAGGGAGCGCTATTGATCTGTTCTCCTTGAAGAAGCATGTTGTATGTTGTTTCAAGCATGTTGTATGTTGTTTCGTGTTTACTTTGCACCAGACTGTATTACAACACTCTTAGTATTCACCAGCATATTCACTGTCTGCTAAAATATGCGACCTTTGTGTTCCGATATGAAGAAAGTTCTATGAAGTATGCATTTTGTGTAACTAATGTACAAACACAAATTTTATAAAATTGTACAGTTTTTTTTAAAAACTATTCACATCTAGGAAATGGCTTAAATGTAGCATCCTCGCATTAATTAAATGCTCTTAAAGTATATAATGAATATGCAGTTTTAGTATCTGCTAAATTAAGAATGCCTTCATGATGGTCATGACTTGCCGTGATGTCCTTAACTTTACCGCCTGCACTGGCTCTGTTCCGGTCGCTGCGCTGTTACAGTCTGCATTGGTGCTAGCTAGAAAACTCCTAGCTCACGAGCCCAGAGGGTGCCAGGGAGGGTGGACCTACCAGTATTTTCTGATAATCCATGATTTAAAGACTGTATAAATGCAATTTATTTTAAATAAAAGCAAAACCTTTTATTTAACATTGCTTTTTGTACTTCTGATCTCTCAACACTACCTACATCTTGCGTGGTTAGAACGGCTGCTGGTGCTAGGCCGTGTCCTGGGTGAAGAGCTTTTCTCTCTAAGGTGCGTGCTTCATTGTTCAGTTAGACTTCAAACTAACTGAAGGAAGGGTGTTCCTTCCCTTGACTCTAATCCTGGTGCTTTTTTCCTTATGCACACGAAGCAAAGCCTACACTGTCTGCCACAGCTGTTCTCAGCCTGCCTAACACTGAGACACTTTATTGTATTTTATTTTTAATTTTATTTAGCTTTATTTTATGTGCATTGGAGTGACATAGGTGTCAGATCCCCTGGAACTGGACAGTTCTGAGCTGGCATGTGGGTGCTGGGAATTGAACCCTGGTCCCCTGGAAGAGCAGCCAGGTGCTCTTAACCACTGAGCCATCTCTCCAGCCCCTGTGACACTTTAATACAGTTCCTCATGTTGTGGGACCTCCAACCATAAGATTATTTTCATTGCTACTTTATAACTGCAATTTTGTTACTGTTATGAATTGTAATGTAAATATCTGTGAAAGGATCATTCGACCCCCAAAGGGGTTGCAGCCCACAGGTTGAGAACTGCTGCCTAGACATTTTACCCCTCACCCATCTTACCCCCAGCCCTGCACCTACCCTCACCCGTCTGAATCTATGTCTGCCTTTCTACCTTTTCTCCCATAAATAACCCCTAAGTTGTCTTGGGGCCACGTGTGCACTTTGCCTTCTCTGAGCTGCCCACTGTACTTAATGGGTGCCAAGCCCAGGTTCCTGTCCTTCTGTCCAGTCATGGAGAAAGCAAACCTGTGGGTGGCAGTCTCAAACCAGAGAGGCACTTTGTAAGAACACTGACTAGGAACCCCCAGGAACTTATATTTGAGTTTCTGTTCCCTATGATTCACGTTCACAAGGGCACAGGAACAGGGACTATCCAAACTCCAAACAAATCCTGTTCTCAGTGAACAGGCTAGAGCCCTACTAGAGGCTTCTGATATGATAATATCAGCTTTGTGGTTGTTGTTGTGGTTGTTTTTGTTGTTTTTGTTTTTATTTTTTCGAGAGAGTTTCTCTGTAGCTTTGGAGCCTGTCCTGGAACTAGCTCTTGTAGACCAGGCTGGCCTCGAACTCAGAGATCCGCCTGCCTCTGCCTCCCGAGTGCTGGGATTAGACTGCTGTCAGTTTTGTGATCTTGAAAGACATTTGCAATTCTTGACTCTTTAATGTCACACATCCAAAAGGCAAAGACAAGACCGACCAGTTCTTTCTGTGTTGTCTAGTTGTGGTTTATGTCTTAGTAAAAGGTCTAAGCAAGGCAGTGGCGGTGAAGCACACCTTTTGTCCCTAAGTGCGGGCACTTGAAGTCAGAGGTGGGCGGATCTCTGAGTTCCAGGACTGCCAGGGCTACACAGAGAAACCCTGTCTAGGGAAGGGGGGGGGGGGCGTAAATTAGCAGTGATAAAGAAGTATGAGGCCGGCCTGGGTTCCGACCTTTAGGGAAAAGACATAGTTCAGTGTTTTAGGGTAGACACTAGCAATAGTGAACACAGTAGTAAAGCATCTTCCTCCAACTTCTCTGTGCTGTATCTGTATCCAAGTCACTTGAAACATGGGCACAACCTCAGTCTGAGAGAGCTTTCTAAATCCGTCCCTTTGCGTCACGTCATCACATACCAGGACTGCCTGTCCAGAGAGTGTGACCTGTACAGCTACCATCTACACTGACTCAGGTGTTTGCCATGTCCAAAACACTTGTGGCCACAGTGCCAGCTCCTCTCTTTGTAGCCAGGTAGCCGCAGCGCTGAGGCAAGGCTGAGTTGACTTGCTTTATGGGTATAGCCCTGAAAGGCTGGTATAGGAGAAACTGATGCGGTCTTTATTCTGCTCGTTCCCTTTACACAGCAGTTCAGGAAGCTGTCCCTTCCCGGGAGCACTGAGCTGTTCAGCAAATTAACTGAGTCTTTATCTGTTTGAAAGGATTTGGTTTGGCAGCTCAAGAAGTGGGGGAAGGAGGGAGAGAGAACCAACAGGAAATGGGAAATCCGGGTAAGGGCAGTGAAATTCTCAGGGGATTGCAGAGCCACCCAGAACAGGAAACAGAGGCCAAGAGCTTATCTAGTGGCCTTATTTCCCGCTGTGCAGATTCCTCCGCTCTATTTAATTAAACTGTAAAGTTTCCCAGGCTGAGCACCCGTAAGTCAAGAGCCCCATCTCTTACTGGGTCCCTCCCAGTTGAGTGTTCCTTTTGTTGTTTGTACCTAGGCCTAAATATTACTAAAAATTACAAGCACTTAAAAATAATTTGAGACCATTATTTCATGAGATCTAATTATAGTCTCCTGTGGCTTCGCTGGTCAGGCATTGTTCATATTACTGCTCCGGGAACTGGTCCAAGTTCAATGTTAATTAAATTTGTGATTACAGACAGCACAGTGAACCAAACAAGCTTACAGCCGTGTCAGAATCGCCGGCAAATGCATGAAAAGAAAAACATTGAGCATGGACTTCTCACCTCCAGGTTTCCAGGCTTCCAAGTAACCTGAGGTGAACAAAATCCACTCTGAATCCTACTCAGCACTCAGAAGACTTGCAAGAGCCAAAACTGCTCCTGAGAAATGACAACAGAGGGACAGGAGTGAGAACAAGTCATAAGCACAGGTAGGACACGACCACAATGACTCCCTCCCACAGTTTCAATAAAGTGTATCCTGACTTTAAAAAATTAAAAAACACAGAAAGCTGTGGGTAAGGTGGTGCACATTTTGCAAGACTTGACCCCAGCACCCCAACATGGAGAGGCTAGCCTGATGTACAATAGTGAGTTCCAGGGTTACACAGTGAGACCCTGACTCAAAAATAAAAAATCCAACAACCCACAAACAACAACAAAAAGCTTGATGTTGACAGAGATGACGGAAACACTCACTGAAGAGTCAGGAGACTTGGAACCATGTGCAGAGGAGCTACAAAAAAGATTCCCCAGAGGGACCACACCTCGTCTCATTGTGCGGGTACCTGAATCAGTTCCCGGTGGATCAGGACTGAAGCTCAAACAGGAAATGCTCTTGTGGTCTGAGGGAAGGAATATTGGTATAAGCTCCCGTGGGCCGGCACACAGTGCACGCTCTGAGGTGTTCTGAACCACTGAGTGAAAGACACGGCAGCAGGAAGCCCGCTTGGGGCTGCATAGTAAAACCTTGTCTCAAAACAAGAAATAAAATGTGGAGAAGGTATTGTAGCATAATTGACTGAAGATGAATGCCCAGACTGTGAACATAAAGGCGCGTGTCTGTACTCACACCAACCCAAAAGGAAGTGGACAAAACCCTAAGACAGTCACTTCATTGGAGTGGAAGCCCAGCCTCACAGTATAGTCTGGAAATTTTGCACTTTGTGAAGTCTTGAGGACTGAGCCAACCAGGGGGCTTGTGTATTAAACACATGCTCTGCGCTCAACTCCATCCCCAGTGCCACCAACTGTAGTCTCTTGTCTATCATATTGGTAACTTAGTTAAGATCTGGTGCTGTCAAGCATTGCTGGGATAACAAAGATATTTATTGGGGCAGTTATAAATTCCAACATCATCAGAAGCATCTGGTAAAATCACTCACGCATCTGAGGATCTCGACTCCACTATTACGAATTATGTGTCTGGAGAAACAAAATGCATCCTCACGCCCCCCCGGGAACCGCGCTCTAGGACTTGGTACAGCAGTGTGGTGGCTCAGGTCTGTAATCCCATCTACCCAGAAGTGGCAGCAGAGGAGAATCACAATGCCAGCCTGAGCAAATTAGCTAGACCTTGTGTCAGAAAGCCGGAAGAGGACTGGGCAACGTGTGTTGCTGTGTAACTCTGGTGCCTGGAATGTAGAGACAGTGGGATCAGGAGTTCAGGCCAATCTGGGCTACGAAGGAGTCTCTCCCCACTTCCTGAACCTATCCCACCCTCCCCCCAAAAAATGAAAGAAAGAGAAAGAGCAAACTGGCAATGTAGCTCAGTGGTAGAGTGCCTGTCCAGCGTGCAGAGTCCTGTGATCAGGGTCTAACCCTGAAGAAGAAAAGAAAACACAAAAGCGGCAACTGCTTGGAAACAAAGATGTGTAACAACAGAATAAAGAGTTACAGCAGAAAACAGTTTCTAAACTTGCAGGATTTCAAAGTTTGCAACAACTGAAAAGTAGCAAATGTTTGTCATGGTAGAGGACTGTGCTTCTAAATTTTCGTTATTGAGAAGGAAGGGGTCCAGCATGTGAAGGTCCTCCGCTTCCACCCAACGTGGATTCTGGAATCTAAGGTTCTCTCAGCAGCAGCCACTCTGCGCCTGGATGTATTTTCCCAGTTCTGGCTTCTGCTGCCAAGTGAATCTCTAACCGGTGGGCTACCTGACTGCTAGCTAGTAAGCCTGGGATCAGGGGTTCAGTTCCTCAAGGTCCAGTTGACTTTACCTCATATTCATAGGCTACACCAAGACTCCCCGAAAGTCACAGACCAACAGGACAAGCGAACACTGGGAAATTAAGCTCACAGTCGGCCTCGGCGTTCAAACAGTGGCCTTGTTCCCAAAGGATTGTGGGAACCAGCACAAACCTGCCAAAGCCACCTAAGCCGTAGCTGAGCAATCACTGAAACTATCAACACCTCCTCGAGCCTCTTACACAGAAGAGGACCTTCTGCCCGGACCTAGAAAATGGCACTGAATTCCCTGCCATGCTTGCCGTATGGTGGATGGGGCCCACACTGGGAGCCTGACCTCTTTCACATGCCCCAAATTGCCCCTGTGAAGGTCTCTAAAAAGGAAACTCAGACGTCCCCTTTCATCTTCACTACTGAAGGCGAAGTGCTAGAATGGAGAACTTCTGAGCGCTGTCTGCTTGGTGTTTGTTTAGGCAAACAACATGAACCCAGCAGCCTTTCCTCTAACCCCAAGAACTGCTGCAGATCAAATCCTGTTGATCTCTGAACAAAAATGACTTCTAAACC